AGCAAAACATGAAAATATGCTTAATTATAGAAACTCAATTACATCAAGATGACTCATTTTTTAACACTTCCATCACCAATTAAGTGATCAATTCTTCCATCAGGATCGGCAAAGAAATCAGCAACATCCAAGTGAGTAACATCCATGTTGCCATAATCAGAATCGCCTTCTTCTCCTACAAAATTTGTTTCCACCTTTGGCTCTTTGCCTTTATTTTTATTCTTATTCTTATTTTTCAGCGATTCTTGGTAGAGGTCAACCAAATGCTTTGGCGTACGACAGGTACGAGACCAATGACCCTTGCCACCACAACGATAACAAAGATTTTCAACATGATTATTATTTCCACTAGATTCTTTTTGGTGATGCTCATCATTATTTGCCCACTTCTGGTGGGAACGACCGCCTCCACGACCACGGCCACGTCCACGGCCACGACCACGACCCCGTCCACGTCCACGACCATGGCCACGGGTTGATTCAGTTGCCACTACATTCACTTCTGGGAATGGAGTGGAGCCAGTAGGACGGGATTCATGATTCCTCATTAAAAGCTCATTATTTTGCTCAGCCACAAGCAAGCAAGAAATTAATTCAGAATATTTTTTGAAACCTTTCTCACGGTATTGCTGCTGCAGGAGCACATTGGATGCATGAAATGTGGAAAATGTTTTTTCTAACATATCTTCATCAGTGATCTTTTCTCCACATAATTTCAGTTGAGAACTGATTCTAAACATTGCAGAATTATATTCGATCACAGATTTAAAGTCTTGTAAACGTAAATGCATCCAGTCATAACGAGCTTTAGGAAGGATTACAGTTTTCTGATGGTCATACCTTTCCTTTAAATTGTTCCAAAGAACAAGTGGATCTTTTACGGTCAAATATTCAATCTTGAGCCCCTCATGCAAATGGTGACGTAAAAAGATCATGGCTTTGGCTTTATCTTGGTTGGATGCTTGGTTGCCTTCTTGATTGTGTCTCCTAGACCATTGGCATTTAGATGGATTTCCGCATCTAATATCCATGATAAATAATTCTTTCCAGTAATGTCAAGAGCCACAAACTCAAGTTTCGTGAGATTTGACATGATGATACTATCATATAAAAGTTAAATGAAAATTAATATTAAGAGAATAGAATAGTTATGAGACAAATCAATATGAATAAGAAAATGGAATAATTATAAAACAAACCATTATAGAAATGATATAGAAATTTACCTTCTAGTTGATTAGCCTTACTACAACACCTTTCGATTACAAGAGCGCTTCGTGCTGATAACGTCTTATAAAATAAAACCAAAATAAAACCACAAAAGTAGAAAGATGAAGACAAGAGAATGAGATTGCTTTTGTATTTCTTCACTTGCATTACAACACAAATGACATGCCCTATTTATAGGCATAGTCTTACAAATAGGTTACAATTGTTCTCAAATGACAAATAGTGGATAATTAATCCCATGAATGTGAATGGAGGTGAGTTACAAGAGTGAATGGGTAGTGGAGGAGTAATGGATGGTGGAGGTAGTGGAAGTTACTTGGAGAAGATGAAGAGGAAGGGGTAAATGGATATCCACACAATATTCATAACAACTTACAAATTATAACACATTTTTGTAGGAATTTTTTTATTTAGATCTAGTAATTTCAATTTTCTTTTGTCAGACTCCTAAATGTTATCCCCTACAGTTAAAAAAAATTAATATCCACTATTAAAATAATAATATTGACCGTTAATATTTCAACAGTATAAGGTAATATTGTTACGATTTTGACTTTTGAGACGAATTTACATCTTGACTCTTTTTATTAACCAAGACAGTTATTTGGCAAATTTCTTAAGAAAACTTCATGAAAGTCATGGGTGATGAAGTTTTCCACGAACACACACGTTGTGCATCCTTAAGAGATACCCTAACACGTGAACTTCATTAAGTCCCAGCCGAAATGATTTTATTATGATATCTTGTTCTGAACGAGTGAGTTGTTAGAATAGATTGAGCACGTACTACAAAAATTTAGATTCAAACTCCTTTTTAATATAATTTTTTTTTATCGAGCTGGGTCACGTAACACAGATTCAGAGTTTAATCTGAATTCTCCAACCAATATATTCCTCTAGTCCTTAATATAAGACCTATTTAACTAATTTCATTAGATTAAAAAAGTTAGGTAAGTTAGTTAACTATAATAAATATGATATATTTTTCTTAAAATATCTTAATCATCTTCATTATATCCTTTCTTCCTCTCATACCTGACCATGGTTGAGGGGTATTAATAGGGGTTATTTAGAAAAAAAATTGATAGATATAAGAAATAAGTCTTATATTTAGAACCAAAATCAACTCCACAATTAGGTTTTATATTAAGAACCGAAGGAGTACTATCTTTAGTTTTTAATATGAGAACTAGTTGACTAAGTTAAGAAGATTAAAGAAATTAATTAAGTTAGTTATCTGTAATAAATAGATGTTGTCTTTCTTAAAATATACTTACTAATCAAGTGTGTTGGTCAGAACTACTATTATTATAAGAACTATTTTAGAAAAAATAGATAAATGTGAAAGATAAAGTTGATTAGGGTCTTATATTTATGATCAAAATAAAAGTAAAATGAATTCTTATATTAAGGATCGGAAGTAGAGGTAGTATGAAAAATATTCAAAAAGGTGCATGCAATATTTAAAATAATATTTCTGATCTTTGATAAGCTAATTTATAATAATTAGATTGTCATAAGTTCAAATATATTATATAATGTTTTTATTGGGATCGATATGGTTATTAATAAACAAATTGTGCACTTTCCTATTTATCATATTAGTTATTAATTATTAATTGAGTAAAAATAATTATTTATTTTGCCACACAACTGTTAGTTATACAATTATTTATCATAATAGTATTAACTTAAACAATTTTCTTTCTTGAATTTTTTTGGTTTATTTTTTTATTCAACTTGTATAATTATTTTATTAGAAGTCATTAAAGAATTGATTTTTTTTTATGACTGCCCTAGCTGAATTTTACTTGTTATTTGAGATTAGATAATGAGATATTATTGTATAACTGTAGTTAATTTTGTCCTTAGAGATTGTGACAACGACCAAACCTTTAAAGATGTTATTGATGATCTTAGATTGTTAATTAATAGGGACTAGTAGGTCATACTTTCACATACACCTAGAGAAGATATGATTGTTACTGTTAGGTTAGCGGGACTTTCTCGTAGTCTAGAAGGAAATTTCTGACTTTTTGATCACCTTTCCCTTCTTAGTCAACGGGTGGAGGTTGATGAAAGATGTGTTTTTGAACTCTTGTAATTCCTTGTTTTGAGTTATGTTATTCGGTTTTCATTAAAAAAAAGATAATGAGATATTTATTCAAGAGCTGAACTTTCTTCGTTGAGAAGAGGAAACAATAGTTATTTGAGAAAACCATAGAAGGATTCAATCCAAATAATGATGGCTAACCTTTTAATTTAGTTATAAATACTGATGAAGACTACTACAGATACAAACAGTTAATTGTAAATGGTGCATTTCAGTTTTAAATGTGAATTTTAGTTTACAACTGAAATTTTAATCTGTTTAGTTGGTCTGGATTGTTGTCTTGTTAACTTTCTGTCTTTTTTTTAGCTATTGGTCTCTCTGAACTGGTATAGCGATTATTTTTCATTTTTCTCATACATTTCCAACTTACTTTTTCCCCCCAAAAGATCTGTCATTGATTCATTTTTTAAATTTAAATGTTATTCTTTTAAGTTATTTTTCCTTTTCTAATTTCATCTTTTTGCCTAGTTTTACTTTTGTTACTTAATATAAAACTAGTTTGACATTTTATTTGACTTTAAATATAAGACTGTAATTTACTTTGTCTATCATATTTATCTATTTTTTCCCAATGTAATTGTTATATTAGTTGCACATGTTAAGAGTTTCATCTAATAATAGTAGTTCTAGCTAACATATATTAGTAGTAAGGGTATTTTCAAGAGGATAACACCTATTTATTATGAGTAACTAACTTAATTATTTTTTAAATTTTTTTAAATCAATCAATTATCTCTTATACTATCTTTGATCCTTAATATAAGAACTAACTTGACATTTAATTTGATCTTAAATATAAGACTTTAATATATTTTATTTCTCATATTTATATATTTTTTCTGAGATAGTCCTTGTTGAAATTTCATATGCTAAAAGTTTCATCAAATGATAATTCTAACTAATAAATGTGATTAACAAAGATGTTTTAGATATAATACTTATTTATTATAAATAATTAACTTAATTAATTTTTTAATCTATTTAAACTAGCTAACTAACTTTAGTATTAACTAATTCTAATATTATAGATGAGAGATAGTATTAAGCAACGGGCAATACTCTCTCGGATTTTATATATAAGCTTTAGTAACAGAATCACGTTTAATGAATTAACGGTTAAAATTAGTTAAAAATAATAAATAAGTCAGAAATGTTTTTTTTTCAAATTTTCTTTTATTTATTAAAAAGGTAAATGAGAGAGGTAATAAATAAAAAAATAATGAAAAAAATAAATGGGGTAATATTAATAAGAGAAAGTAAACACTAAATACAGTCAACTAAAAACGAAATAAGTAAAAAAATAATAAATATTTAAATAAATTAAAAAATAAATTTTATATTTTGAACTAAATATTTTTTTAAAAATAAAGTTTTTACATAGGAACGGAGAGAGTATTTTTCCAGAAGTGGTTGTTAGCCTTAGCATGCATGGTCGAATGACACGTGTCCGTTCGGCCAAAAAGATGACACATGTCCGCCATGTGCACTAAGTTTCCAGGTGTCTCCCCTCTCTCCAGACATTGTTTCATTGCCCTACGAAATTCAAAGCTCTTTATCGCCTTTTAGTTTTCTTCTTTCGCCGGTTCGCCCTCTCTCCCGGGGACCCCAAAAAAAAATCTTTATCGTTTAAAAGTCCAAACATTTTCAAATCTTCTCATTTCTCAATATAATATCTCTCCCACCCGAAGCCCACTCCGTCGTTACAGTCCCCAGGAATATCTGACTGCCGCAAGATTCACTCCCAGAGAAGAAAATGCAGAGAAGCACGCCCGTGAGGAAGCCAAACACTTCCACTTCAGATCTTCTCACATGGTCGGAAGCTCCTCCGACAGATTCCTCCGCCACTGTGACCGGCCTCCGGTCTCGTCAGGTTACCCTTAACTCCGTACTTATGATTCTTTGCCTTAGGTTCAGTCTCACGCGGATATTGACTTTGTTGTTTAATCTTCCATCATTGAATTCACAGCCGTCCGATAAAATCAGCAAGGTGCTTCACGGAGGCCAGGTCACCGAGGATGAAGCACGGAGTCTCGAGAAGACGTAAGATTCATTACTAATTATCTCGTGCTTAACATTTCCGATTTTTTCCTTAGAATTTGGGTCTGCGTTCTTGTTAGAAATGCACGGACGGTTAGATCTGCTGTTTTTTTAGCTCATTTTTTCGTTTGTTTGCTCCTTGATCTGATTTTATTTTTGTTTCCGTTTTTCCTTGTTTTTGGGCTTAGTGTTTGACGGTCTCTGCATGCTAATTCATTAGCTTTGCCGATCTGTTTTGCGATCGTCATAAACGGCTTATCAATGTCTTCTGTTAAGATCACAAATTGAAGTTCCCAACTACCAAGTATGATGTGAAGTACTGAGAATTCTGGCATTTTTGGTTCAAATCATGTGCAGAATTTATATTTAAGTTGACATTGTAGCTTCAAAATTCACGCCTTTTACTTTTATGGGTTCAAGTTGTAAAGTTAAAGTTTTGAAGATGGTTGGGTAGAATACTAAATAGGCTGGTGGAATCTGCGACAAATAGAAGTTCGTAAATCCCACCAAACGAAGTGCGAGACAAGATTCGCTGATGATTCGCCCAATGCACGTTAACACTCACGAGTCCAGGACTTCTCTTCACGAGTCCAAGCAGTTTGATTCACCCAAGAGCGTTAGGTCATAGATTTCTGCTCTCGACTATTCTTGCCTAGAGATCCTGATGTCCAAGGATTTGATTCCTATTATGCCTTCCACCTACCTCTCTACTCCCAAAACTCCCAAAAATAAATGATAAAAATTAAAAAAGCAATATGATTACACAAGATGGTAGGGGATTCCTTTTTTTTTTAAAAAAAAAAAAAAATTATTTCTACCTTGAGATTACTGTTATTTTCTTTCATATTGCATTGCTAAACATTACACCTGAACCATGAAATGTTTTACTTGTGCATGCTCAGTGCAGTGTGAGTGCATATTTGAGATACTGAACTTTTTTTTGGTGATGAAAATCATTATGTAAACTAGAACACATTGCCTGTGGTGAACGTAGAAACATCATTTCAATCTATTCTTGCTGCTAACCTTTTAAATTTCTACTCTTCCCAGAAAACCATGCTCCGGGTATAAGATGAAAGAGATGACTGGAAGTGGCATATTTTCAGCTAGTGCTGAAGACAGTACATCAGAAGCCAAATCTGCTTCGAATAGCAAAACTGGCATCCGAATGTATCAGGTATATTGGATGATTTCCTTGGTGCAGCATATCATTAAAACCATGTGGATGTCTCAAACATCAAACTGTGTATACAATTGTTGAGTATTTTCTAATGTTTCCCCTTGCATCTCAGCAAGCAATGACTGGAATTAGTCAGATATCTTTCAGTACTGAAGAAAGTATTTCACCAAAGAAGCCTACCTCACTACCTGAGGTAGCTAAGCAGCGCGAGCTGAGTGGGACATTGAAAAGCGAATCAGACGCAAAGTCTAAAAAAATATCCAATGCCAAGTCCAAGGAACTCAGTGGACATGACATATTTGGCGCTCCTGCTGAAACTACGCCTCGTTCATTGGCTGCTGCACGCACTCTGGAATCGAAGGAAAGTAAAGATATGGGAGAACCAGCTCCTCGTAATGTGCGCACATCAGTTAAAGTTTCCAACGTAAGTTTCGTTGTTGTTTACTGGTTTTCATCACAATCTTTCCTTCTCCCGAGTCTTTTGCTTTATCTTCTGTACTACAATTAAAAAAAAAAAAAAGGTTTTTTCTTAGTCTTTTTATGGCATATCGGTTTGCTTCAAATTATGCTGTTACTTCACTTGCTTTGTCCATATTCCTGTCTCAAGCAATTGGACTGCATCGAGCTTGACAGCTTAGTTCTGTTTCTTTCATACAACCGTATCTTGACCAGAGTGTTTTCTTCCTTCCTTCCTTCCTTCCTCTTCTTTTTGTGTAGCCTGCGGGTGGACAAAGCAAGATCTTAATTGGCGAGGAACCACCTAAGGCATCAAAGAAGATACATGGCCAGAAGTTCGCAGAGTTAACAGGCAACAACATTTTCAATGTAGAAGCTTCGCCAGGATCAGCGGAAAAGCCTCTGAGTAGGGCTAAACTGAGAGAAATGACTGGCAGCAACATATTTGCTGATGGACAGGCAGAAGCCAGAGACTGCTTACGTGGCGCTCGCAGACCCCCGGGCGGGGAAAGCAGCATCACCTTGGTTTAAGTTAAATAACGATAATAATGTTGTAGTCACATTTAGACGTGTAGGCATTTTTACAGACTCATGAGGACTTTCATGTTATTGACTTGAGCGGACAACGTGTGACCATGACCAGTTCATCACTTATGAGAACTCTGTTTTTACGACTTCGAAGATAAAGCATGATATGGTTGGTGGCTCTTTAATGCTGTTTCAGCGTTTCCTATCCTCCCCTGATATGAACAATTTGTGGAAAATAATTTCCTTTGCTGATATGAACAGAGGATTATTATACTTGCACAGATTAGCTTGTGAATGGAAACATGAAACAATACAAATCGGCTAGGGATTTTCGACACTTTTTTTAAGTTGCCGTGGCAGAAAAAACCTCATTAGCTTAAGTTTTCAATTTTAATTCTTAGCCTGATGGTATTCATGGACTAATTGATGGATAATATAGAGTCATACATTTAAAATATGGGATAAGTATCTTCGCCGTCTGCTTATTCGAAGTTAACATCTCTTAAACCACCATGATTGATCACGAGCAAAATTAAAACACGAGTCCAGCACACCATTTGTAGGACCATCGCACATCAGAGAGAGGACCCACCAGGTCATACCAACGTTCAGACACCCACAGGAAAATTCACTAACAGACGATGAGAATGAAGGCTTATAACCTGACCAGCAGTCCTATGACTACTGAACAGATCAAGTATTTTCAATTATCACCATGACCAATCAATGCAAGAAGCATCTTCTCGTAGTCTCCAGAAGTGTCCTTGGATATTGCTTGGTCCAGAGGAATGCTATTTCTTCTTTGGTATTCCTCTTTGATTCGCTCCATGTCAACCTCAGCTCTAGTAGCCACCACTCTTGTAAGGGCCCATTCATCGGTTCCGGTCTTGTTTATAGCCATCCTCAAAACTTTCTCAAAATACTTCTCAGGGAAGGTTAAACACTTAATTGTAGATCTCAACAGTTTCAGATATTCATCTTCCGGACTGGATTTCAGATCCTGTAGCCAGGAGACTTGTTTTCAGTTCAACTTCAAAGTGACTGAATCATCCTACCACTGTTTAGTGACAATTTCTAACACCAAAGTATTTGTCCTTTTGAGTAAATTGTAAGAGATTAATCCACAAGATGATGTCCATAGGCCAAATTGCTTCAATTGATGGCCAGCAAGTTGAAAGCACGGATAAGAGAATTACGAAATTGAGTGTTTCAAGCAAGTGTTAAGTTAGATTCACACGAGTTATACCTTGTTTATAGTATTCCCGAAGTCATTGTTGTACTGGTTGAGTGTTGCATTTATCTGTGCTTTGCTTCTTGTCGTTATAATCCTGATCAATTCCTCATGATTGTAAGCCTTCTCTGCAATCTTCTCATGAAGCAATTTTGCCTCTGATTTTGCCAATGTCATGTTCACCTCTTCTCCGTCATAACGGAATGTACTCACAAGAGGAACCAACAGCTGTTACAAGAGAGACACGGGTTAGTTTTGTCATCAAAATGCAAGAGACCTAAGTAAAAGAAAGTAAAAGAAAAGACCAATTTGATCGACTTGATAAGCATGATAATGCAAAAACACATGGATGTTCAAAGAGTCATCACCCAATACAGATCCTAACAATTCACAATCCAGATAAAAAAGTGGACGAAATAAGGGAGTGAACTACATACATTTGTTTTTCTTTCCGTATCACCCTCTTTTTCTAACAAAATGGCATGCGTGCAGAAGAAGATCCATATTAAATAACCCTCTTGAAGGTCATTGTAATTTGAATGCTCCATTTTCTTTAACACTTTTTTTTGGGCACCAATGACCGTAATGTAAGTTCTCCTCAAAGCAAAAAGGGTGTAAATTTTGAAAGATTTTGATTGAATAAATCACATCAATCAAACGAATAGCCGCTTAAAATTACAACGTGAGTGAGTGTGCATTTCAAAAGTTGAGCAATGAGTAACACACCTTGCGGAAGTCCCCAGATGTGTGATAAGCAACGTCCTCTTCGAGGGATCTCTTAAAACGGGCTTGATATGCTTGCTTTGCCTTAAACAGATCAAGTGAAGATCTAGTGCTGGCAATTTCCATAAGAACCCAATTGTTGGAAGTCATCCTCTTAGTAGCTTCATTGGCTAAAAATGCATCACGCTCAGCAGGACCCAGGGCCCACAGCAACACAATTCGCTGTTAAATCCAAATCACATTAGACAGCATAACACATTAATAGAGTCGTAACAGCGCCTTCCTCTTTACTCAGGGTCATTCTTAGGCAGGACTGATACTTCACACTTTGAGACGAAGGAAAACCTAAGCACTAACTTTGAAATTTCTGACAAATAAAATAGCCATTAAATTGAGAATAGAACATAGAATACATTGAAAGGTTCAAAACTAACCTCAAAGTCATTTGAAAGTTCCTTGTCTAAGGATTTAAGAAGCTCTTCTCCATAAGTAGCTGCATACGTTTCAGAAATCAACTTACGCTGAGATGCATTCCTGTGGGCCAGGATAGATATTATCAAATCTTCATTTGTTCCCCACCCTGCAAATATATTTCACAACGAGCGATAGTTGACAGGTAAGTAACATTAGATGAATGAGACTGATTAATTAGTTCCTAGAATAAGAAAACACATTATTCAAGTTATCACAAACAACGGAGCCTGGTAACGCAAGAGATGGACAGATATGCCTTCTCTTTGGTTCATCGGAAGGAAAATTCCACACCGCTCATGAAAGGTGCAATAAATGGAAATCAAAATTAAAGGGGAAAAATTAATATTATAAACACAATCTCTAATCAGAGAATTATTACTACTACTACTACTACTACTTCTATAAAGCAGTAAGCTAAAACCACATCTCTGATCGCCAACAGATTCAACAAAACTGCAAAAATACTAGGAATAAGGGCAGAAAACTTCGAAAGACCAGAATCATGCTTAAAAGCAAGGCTCCAAAAGGGAATATTGTGCTTGGAAAAAGTAAGAGCAGGAATTTAGTTAACTATACGTTGTCTGAAATGCATACGCAACTCAATGCTTCAAAAACAAATTCCACGTAATGAATAAACCGAATAAACTTATCGCGAGCGTGAGCAGCAAGATCACGCATCATCAAACTCAAACATCAATAACAGTGATTAAATGCACAATAAAAATTTCGATTTAAGTAAAGCCTCAGAAACATCGGTAAATTCCGCGTAATGCATAAACGGAACAGACATATCACGAGCGCAATCAGCAAGATCACATATAATCAAACGTGATAACCAGTAACAGTGATCAGATGCACAATAAAAATTACGATTTAAGAAAAACTCCAGAATCATCTTATACATTATTGTAAAGTAAATTGATCAGATCACAATAACGAGAAATTCCAGACCGGTCACAAAAATATGACCACTCAACGGATCGATGATCTGATAACATAAATCAAGTCCCTAAAACAAAAACTAAAAAGTGTTACTCGTTTCAGTCCGGTGATCTTAAAACGAATTCGGTACCCTCAAAAGCTTTCCGCAATTGCTCAGCATCCTCGGACGGAGAAGGAACTTGAGCAGGGACCTTCAGAGACGCCATAGTCACCTTTCGAAAATCGATCTGAACCTGCAATATGTGGAGGAAAGCGAAAGAAATGCGACAAGTAAACCCGATATAATGAGTGGATGGTGATCTTGTTCAGGCAAGAATGATTAGCATGACTGTGTGAGAATACGTGAATCACTTGCGGATCTACACAAACGCCACGTACCAGAAAAAGAAAGAAACGTAATGATTCTAGTGGGCCCTTAATCAATTGACTTAGGCAGCATGTAATTATTTAAGATCGTAAATATAACCTTTTGCCTCACACGACGGTTTTCACGGTCAGATCTGAAGCCTCCCTATAATGCGTTTTATTTTTTGGGAAAATGAAACCTACAGTAGCTGTAGTTTTAGGGGGTGTTTGGATAGAAACCGAACCATGGTTTCAGAAGTGCTTTTACAGATTACGAAGTAAATATGTGGAGGAGATTATCTCGTTTTGCGGAAAAGTGCTTTTGAAACCATAGTTTTGGGTTTCCCAAACACCCCCTAGTATCCACTTGGAATAGCAATAAATAACTGTAATGTTAGATAATCGTAAATTTTATAAGTGATACTAATTACAAGTGATATTGGTTAATCGTGATTTCTGTTTGGATAATTTTTTTATAAGTAATTTTAAGAACTGTGATTATATTTGGTTTTCGTTTATCAAAATAGCTTATAGATGTATAATTGCTAAAAAAGGCATGAAGTTAATATTTGAAGAGAGATTTTTAGAAGAGTATGAGAAGGTAGATTGGAAAAAATTTAATTACTGAAGATTAATTGGAATTTTTTCTAACGTATAAGCTGCTCCTTATTATTTATCCTAAAAATACGGTAGAAGGATAAAATCACGATTTATTAAGATTTTATAAAAATTATCCAAACAAAAAAAATATATTTTATAATAACTTATTTGTATTTAAACCGGATTATTTAATATCCCAACATATTTAACCAAAGGAGTTTTGGTTCAAGACCGTCTGCACCGTTATTCCCTCCGCTTTCATGTTTGGCTGCTAGGCAGTAAGTCAGTAACACTGACACGAAAATATGAGTTGAGACAAAATTTAAAAAAAAAAAAAAACCACTAACAGAAAGATCTTGAAGTCTTTCTTATTTGCCTCCAGGTTCTTCATTGCTCCGATACGGCACTTCTGGATCACGATGCCGGTTTTCTGGTTCTGGGTCAACCCGTCCCTGTGCGGTGACCATGTTCTTCTCACTGGAACCGGCGAGGCTGGCGTGGATGTCGCAGTCTTGGAATAGGGCAGCGGAGTTGCCAAAGATGAAGTCAACGGTGCCGGCAAGGAGGCGGTTGATGAAGAACTGACGGTTGCGGTGGACCTAGAGGACAACTGGCGGGGGAGGAAGTCGCACTGGTAGAAGACGGTGAAGTCGGCACCTACCTGGATGGCGACGACTTGGTGCTTCGCATGGCCAGCCGTGTTCTCAAAGGTTATGTCGCGGGCTAGGAATCTTGCCTCTCGTTTGTAAAATTTCTTGTACTGAATAATGACCTCTAAATGTTTTGACATACACTGCAGGCTCTCCCTCATTTTCGTCTTTATCTTCTCCCATGTTCTTCGATCCCTCAATAAACACACCTCATTTTCTTTGTTCCCTCTGGTCA